CTGCCTGGACCTCAGGACCACTAAAGACTCGCTCATCTCTGTGGATCTGCCTGGACCTCAGGACCACTAAAGACTCGCTCACCTCTGTGGATCTGCCTGGATCGCAGGACCACTAAAGACTTGCTCACCTCTGTGGACATGCTCTAACTATTGGGGCAACACTTCCTGGTAAGGTCTATTCAGGCGTATTGGAGAAAGAGTCCAATCGATGGTTGAACCTCCGATTCAGGAGGGACAATGCAGGCTCTGTCCTGGCTGTGGAGCACTGGACCAGCTCTTTACCCTCATTAGAGTCCTCGAGGGGTCATGGGAGTTTGCCCATCTAGTCTACATGTGTTTTTTGGACTTGGTACACTGTGGGAGTCTCTTGCTACGGGCCATGATCCTCGGCTCTCACTGGAGCAGTTCACAGCTGGGATGAGGATCAGCACCTCCAAATCTGAGTCCATGGTCCTCAGTCAGAAAAGGGTGAACTGTTCTCTCCAGATTGGGGGTAAAGCTCTGCATCAAATGGAGGAGTTCAAGTATCTTGTTTTGTTTACAAGTGAGGGAAGAATGGAGCATGAGATTGACAGATGGATAGGTCCGATAGTTATAGCTTTTAATAACAGTAATAAAAGCATCATTTAAATAACAAATACCACATTTAAATACAGAAACAGTTCTCTAAGTTTGATGATTTGATTTGGAAGTAGCAGCTTTTGTCACTGGAGTAAATCTTTCAGGTATTCACAAACATTCGCAGAGCCTCCAAAATTGCATTTATTTAGATGGGATGTGACGTTTGAGTGAATGTCATTCAACAAACAATCCAATACAAAAAATAAATGATGTTCTTTACATTGATTGTGAATGTTGGTTTTCTAGTTTGGCCCAGAAATGGAACTTGAGGAAAATGTTCCTATTTTCCAAATCACAATTCTGTAACACAAACAGCAGATAGCAAGATGAAAAACATCTTGAACTGATCACTAATTGACCAAATGAGAACATGCAGTGTCAGGAGTCAGTCTCACATCAACCTGTTCCTGTGGGCCATGAAACTGGACCAAACCAGATCTTGATGGACCCAGTGTTTCCCTGTGTTCACCAGACCTGCTATCAGTTCCTCAATTCCACAGCTGCTGGGAGCAGCCTGAGAGAAGGCCACTAATCATGAAGGCAGGCAGTTCTAGCCAACCAGAGATGACCCAGGCTGACCAGGGAGAGGGAGGATGCTCATGAAGAAAACATGTATCAACATGTATCAACATGTATCAACATGCCATTATAATTTAGGAGAGGAGGTGTTTGAAACATTAGATCCTATGCATAATCATGAAATGATGTAATCTGTAGTTAGTTTTTGGCTAGATGCATGAAAGGAGGAGTATGCATGTTTATGAATAATCATTGCAGAAATTTAGAAAAACCCTATGCATGACAGACAAAGGAGGCTTTTTAGGGTTTTATGCTACTGAACACTGATGGTTCTGGAACCTGTTGGACACTTTTCCATTCTGGAGATGCCCATGCTGAGAGGGGTTGAGCAGGTGCGGGCATACTTGTTGGCCCCCATCTTGGTGTCTGTATGTTGGGGTTCACCCCTGTGAATGAGAGGGTAGCCTCCATCTGCCTACATGTGGGGGGATGGGTCCTGACTGTTGTTTGTGCCTATGTGCCTAACAGCAGTTCAGATTACCTACCATTTTTGGAGTCCTTGGAGGGGGTGCTGGAGAGCACTCCTAACGGGGACTCCCTCATTCTGCTGGGGGACTTCAACACTCATGTGGGTTATGACAGGGAGACCTGGAGAGGCATGGTTGGGAGGAACAGCCCCCCGCCCCTCGATCTGAACCTGGGTGGTGTTTTGTCATTGGACTTCTGTGCTCGTCATGGATTGTCCATAACGAGCACCATGTTCAAACATAAGGGTGTCCATATGTGCTCTTGGCATTAGGACACCCTAGGCCGTGGTTTGATGATTGACTTTGTTGTTGTTTCATCTGATCTGCGGCCGCATGTTTTGGACACTCAGGTGAAGAGAGGGGCGGAGCTGTCAACTGACCACTACCTGGTGGTGAGTTGACTTCGATGGTGGAGGAGAACCAACGTGGTTTATGGTAGGGATGGTACGCTGCTGACCTCAACGCTGGACGTTGTGGTTTGGTCAAAGACCTTCTCAATCCCACCAGTAGTGGTGGACAGTGATGGAGTACATTTACTGGAGTACTGTACTTAAGTACATTTTTTGAGTATCTGTACTTTACTTGAGTAGTTATTTATTTGGGAACTTTTTACTTGAACTCCACTACATTTCAAAGACAAATATTTTACTTTTGACTCCACTACATTTCTAGGAAGCCTATAGTTTCTTGTTACTTTTGGCTCAACATAATTTTGTACTGTTGCTGTTTTTCTTTGTTGAAATGCATTTGCCCACACGCTATGTTCTTCACAAGGGAAACCAATCACACTTGTAGCTCACACCTGGGATAGATTTGTAATTACATAATCTTCAATTCAATTCAGTTTATTTATATAGCACCAAGTCACAGCATATGTTGTCTCAGGGCACTCTATAAAAAAAACAATCTAAAGAAGCAGCAGATTATGTTGAATCACTTCATCACCCATCCTGAGCAGCACATTTGTGACAATGGAGAGGAAAAACGCCCTCTAACAGTGTGACGACCCCTGCTGCTACTGCTAATTACTATCTTTGCAGGCAGGTGCATCCTGTTGCTTCTGCTGTGTTCAGGTGCTGCTGGAGGTGGAGTCCTGGTGGCCTGGAGCAGTTATAAGCAGCCAGCAGAACAGGCAGAGGGGTAAGCCAAGAGAAGCCAATTTTAGCAGAAGCCAAGCCCAGGGGAGAAGCCGGCCCAGGTTGAGACAGCAGCAAGTGACTGGAGAAGTTACTGGTGCTGCAGGTGTGCTAATCAGCTGGTTAGCTGAAGCTCTGAAGTGTTGTATAATCCAGTGTGGCCAGACGGAGCTGACAGCCAAGTGGAGGAGCTCGTGGGGGAGAGTCGAGTCGGAGGTCTGGTGCGGAGATTGATGTGCACCAGTTACGCTGAGTTCAGGGGACGCCGTTAAGCGAGTCGCCGGAGGTGCGGAACCAGCGGGGCGATCTTCATATGAACCAGGGGCGTAAGTCGACATGTTGGCATAAAGGCTGATGCGGAGGTGGCGAGAGCTGCAGAAGGGACCAGGAAACGGCACTGGAACGAGGACGTTTTCAACGTGGACTTCAAGGTTCACCAAGAGCACGGCTGTGAACAGGGCGAGGTCCAGCTGACGAACCTGAGTGAGGCAGACCTGGTTCTGGTTCCACACAGTCTTTGGCAGGAACCAGGTGGTGAGAAACTCCACATAAAGAACTCCTAGACATCTTTACCTAATAAAATGTCTTTTAAGGTTTTAAAACTGGCCGCCATGTGTCGTGCTCTCCTTTGTGTTATGGCTTTGAGAGCCTGGGTTGTAACAAACAGGAAGAAACCTCCAGCAGAACCAGGCTCAGGACAGGCGGCCATCTGCCTCCACTGGCTGGATTTGGGGGAGACAGGAAAAAGACAGAATCACAGAAGAACTGGTCCAGGTGCACCTTCCTCTCGAAGAGAGACAACGAAAACGTGTTATTACAATAGAAAAATAATTAAAACATGTAGATGAGAGAGACTTAAGACAGCAGAAGAGTGAGGAAATATGCTCAGTTTG